GAGGCTGTACCGCCGGTCGATTTCGAAGTGTCATTCCATGAAATTATTGTGTTTTCATAACCTTTACCTTGGATTATCAAGTTGGTTTTGTTAGCATTAATCGTCACCTTCTCCCTGCCATCATACGTAGATATCATGCACGCAATTAACTCATCCAACTCTAAGCTCCAACAAAATAAATAAATAAATATATATATATATATATATATATATATATATATATATATATATATATATATTATAAACTACTACTTTGCAATGATTAAATTATTTCTTCTCACACTTTATGTCAAATTGTTGTAATAGAATAAAACGGAGATAGTATTATACTTTGACCTAGGTCATTAGCTACATGGCTCTTAATTAAATTTCATTTATCTATCATTTCAATTTATATTTTTTGTTTTATATGCAACATTTCCATTCCCCACTTATTTAAACTGAACTTAAATTAATTTTACTGAACTGAAATTATTTTTGATAAACTGAAGTTATTTTTTACAGATTTTCTATTATAATTCTTCTTTAAGGAATATGAATTTTACTGAACTAGACTAATTTTATTGAACTGAAATTATTTTTTAATGAACTGAACTTGTTTTTGCTGAACTTGAATTATTTTTACTTAATATAAGGTGAAGTGAACAGGACCTTACTAATGCATTAATTCAATCATAAATATATATTTTTAATTACTAATAAGTAAATATTACAAAAATTGTATATTATAAAAGCATTAACCGATATAAATCTAATGGGATCTCGCATAACTATGTTTTCCATTAACTATAAATCACTAAATTCAGTCAAAATAGGGTATGTAAATAATGTAAAAGTCAATGTGTTGTAAGTAATAAAAAATAATAAAAACAAAAAAAAATGAGGAATGCCGAGTACATAATTAAGCTTTGGACTAACCTGTATATGCCGGAGTCTACAATGATGAGAGTATAAGAAGAGCTAGAATCTGGCACAGCATCAATTGCTTTTTGTACACTACTAAAATTGCCATAACCATGGAAATCTACCGTTAAAGTAAGAGAAACACGGTATAAAGACGGCAACCTAGACCCCCATTTTGACTCACCACACGACTCGTGTGGCTCTTTCGGGTTGGTGGTCGTGTTGGTCATGGTGGTGATGTCTTCTCCAAACACGGTCACCAAATTCCTTAAAAATGCCTAGGAAGTCATCAAAAGTACGCGCTTGTTTAATAACAAGGGTGAAATAGAGGATGAAGAGTTCATAAAAAGGGTGAATGCAATAGAAAGAAGTGCAATGACAAAGGCTAAGAGCCAAAACCAAGAGATGGTTTTGAGTTTCATGACTAAAGCTCGGCTCGTTTACGGGTTAAAGATGATGAAGTCATGAAGGGAAGTGACTATTTCTTATATAATATGTGATCATGTGATGACTTTGTGAGGAGTAGTGTAGGGTGATTAGCGTAAAAGAAATGAATTCATGCAATAGTGAATTACTATTATTATTTATAATAAATAATGAAATAGTATATAGATTAATAAGACATTTATCTTTTCTTGCTTGAAAGTAAAGAGGGTAGGAAAAAGGGTAATGGGCAGCAAACAAGATTGGAAGATGGATACGCTAAACAACAGAAAGGGAGAATGATGAAAGGTGCTACATGCGTATGGGTGTCATTCTCAGCAAGTACATTTTGACTTCTTCTCAAAATATGGTGGTAATTCAATCTATTTGATTTTGATGGTATTTGAACTAATTATTGGTTTTTATAACATTGTAGTAATTTAGCTTAAAAGGGATATCATAGCACCGGCCAATATGTTTTGACCCAATTCAAATTACTAAAATTAGGACCGGTTTTGTTCACCTTTTTCGGTCTTATAAGTTCAAATAAGATTAAGTAAATTTAGATAAGATAATGAGTTCGAATAAGTAAATAAGGTGAATTGAACATATCATTATTCGATGTTAAATTGATTGGCGTGTAGCCTGATTTTGACATGTTTGAATCGAATTTCAATAATGAAATACTCCGTAACAAATTGGTTAAACTTCATTGTGAAATTTCCACCACCTTCCATCATCACCCTAAGCTACTTTTTGCCAACTTACTCCATAGCCTTGATCCCATGCATGTAATACATCACAAGCATCCCCCCCTCCCCCCAACCCACCAACCCCAAACTCCCACTCTCACCCTAACTCACCTATCCATTGAATTGAAGTAACACATTAGCACAAGTAGCAGTGTGGCACCCCTACACACCTAAAATCAATCACCAAAAAGGTAGATGCAATCTCTAGACGTAACTCCATGCATGCGCATAGAGGCCACAGTACAACGGAGTATCTTCGTCGTATGAGCGAATCCCCGCCTCCCTGCTTCACTCCAAATAATGTGTGCTATAAGTAAATGCATTTTTTCTCTACAATTATGACAACTAAGTTCTTGACGTCCTGATTAGTAAGTGGTAATAAACAAAAATAATAGAATTGGATCTTAATGTAAATCTTAACTGGCAATACTTTGAGGGAAAAACTAGCTCATACTTAGAACTTGTTCTAATTTACTAAACTAAAATATCTGAACTGATTAGAGTTAAACTGAATATTTTATAAGAGAAGGAAATTAGGAAATGAACTGAACTGATTGGAGCTGAACAGAACTGGAAATAAGCAACAGAACAGACCCTTAGTACTTATATTTACAACCTACGCTAGCTTACTTAAATTATCAACAGTATAAGAAATTTGTACCCACCAATTTATGTTTCTTTTTTTATTGTCTGATTACAAATGAAATCAATTTTCCCAAAAATTTATAAAGAAAAATTTAGTCGTCATACTTGTTTGATGCATTACAACGTATAATTTTCAAGCACTAATTTTTTTGTATTTTTATGTAAAACATACAAATACGTGAATACAGACATACAGTTATGTTTTAAAGTACTACGTATAAAAGTAGAACAGGACATATACGCAATTACACATCATGAACCATACTCAAAAAATAAATCAGTTGACCCATGCAACAGTTATCAGCTTTTTGCACAGCAAAACACAACTTTATCATAGGCTCAAAAATTGCTGAGCAGCTGAACAAAATTTTTGCACTATTTTAAAACTGAAGGAGATAAAACAACTCCATTCACAATCCAGGAGATTAAACAATAATACAACCCACCCATCAGCTCTCCCTCTACCCTCCTTTCTTCTTTCTTTTTCTCTTTTACTGTAAAAACTGACCTTTAACTGTTAAGTAGCTGAAAGCATAATTAATTACAGAGCTTTTGCTGCCGTTGAAACAAAAAACAAATATAATATATATATATATATATATATATAATAAAAAAAAAAAAAATTATACAGAATATGCCCATAATTAAACCATTTCTGCATAAATTTGAAGAAAAACAGATCCTAAAACTGGAAATCTACTCTGAAATCAACGAAAAATGCAATCCCTGCCTGTATATGGATAAATTGGATTCCCAAAATGTGGTCTTCTACCAAGTTCTGCTAATTTACAAGCTAACTATCAGCTAGACTTTTGAATTCACGGCAATCTGGAACCAACTTGTGAAGCATAGAGGTTCCCTGGAAACGTACTAATGACCAAAAAATTTCTCTTCAACTCACGAATCTGCAAGCAATAGTAAGTAATTGTTATTTGATGTCAAAACAGTAGAAGTTTTTGGGGGTAAAAAATGCAGACATTCAAAAAGTGTTACCTGGTCAAGCGTCATCTTTTGTGAAACCAAAACGATCTGTCCATATAGATCCTGCCTCCTCTGCTGCTGGAAGCACTATGGTCTTAACTTTAAGGAACGCCAAGAGGTCTCTCGATGCAAGCAAATAGTGTTTGAAAATAACCCTACAAGAAGGTTTTATGAACATTTAAAATGCCTAATCACTTTATCAGGAAATGCCTAACTTGTGAAGGTGAAAATACCACACTTTTTACTGGAGTTGGAAGCAACCAAATAATATATAGTTTATATAAGGCAGTTGATAAATTAAGGTGAAATTAAGTTGACAATGTCTCCAGAGATAGCATGTATTAAAGAATAAAGATGAGGATACAGAAGACCCATAGGAGGAGCAAACTTGTAAAAAGTGGGTTAGGATAAATTGTAATAAGAGCCAAGAGTGTAGGATGCAAAAAGTGATGCTTATTATGGTTCACGGCAACCTTATGCTCAAGTGTATCAATAAGAGAAGTTGATTTTTAGAATAATGAAAAAGAGATAAGACATGAGAAACAGGGCCTAATATGCTCAAGTGTATCAATAAGAGAAGTTGATTTTTAGAATAATGAAAAAGTGATAAGACATGAGAAACAGGGCCTAATATGTACCAAGAACAGGGCCCTTGATGATACCACTTCTAAACCGTAATCCAACTTAAGGTTATTCTGACCATTTGATCTAGACCCCCATACCTTCCCTAGTCTCTCATATGTGTTTACTTTAGGCAGCACCAAGGACTTTTTTCTTAAATTTCTCTGACTAGTCTTTACAACTCCCTCAAGCACTTTTCATGCATGCCGAGGCATATTTGACCATCAAAATCTATAATTGTGTACTAGCAACAATTTAATGGTTTAATTAGTAATGCATTACCAAGCGTGGCTGAATAAAACAGATGAAGTATTTTACTTCATTGATACTTTGAAATTTCAAATTTAGTAGGACATTGTGGGGGTAAAGTTAAATATACTTAAACTTGTAGTGTCAACCAGCAACAGATCAATAATAAAATAACCCAAGGGCCTATTCTGATTTACTGAACTCAACTGAACTGATTGGAGCTGAACTAAACTGAAGGGAGCTGAATTGTTTATGAGAGAAGGAAATTAGTAACTGAACTGATCGGAGCTGAGTTGAGCTGAACTAAACTGAAATTAAGCTGAAGAGAACAGGCCCTAAATATAATGGAAGGATATCATTACTAGTGGAGGTGATGCCATATCAAAGGCCACAGAAAATTTAGATAAGTCATTATCTCTCAGTAGACTACTTTTTGCCATGATTACCACTGCTTGTTGCGACCAACGGGAGCTCTGCAACATCTGGACCAAATATTCGGAATATTCCAGCTGATACAACCACTTCGCTGCACTTAGTGAGGAAAAAAAGTCAAGTTGCCAAAAGGTCACAATTTCATAATGTTTTGAATAGAAAAATGAAGAGAGCTTATTTACTTGGCGGTTAACACAGCACAGTACATCCCTCCGTATTCTTGGCCACCCACATTCCTCCTGTCACAAAGAATTGAATTAAAAAAGCAATCATGTTAGGTTAAGTTATACCCACATAAAGCAGCAATAGGAACTCATTTTAAAAGGGAAAAGTGCCTACCCGTAAACCATTGCAGGTATAAGGTCATGTCCAGACACTACATCAATGATTGGGGCAAAAGATTCCTGAAGGATGAAGAAAAGAGCTTAGGAACTAAAAAAAAAACCTATATATCATTGCCATAATCATATACAATTTGAAATTTTAAAAAGAAGCAGCCCAAAAATTCCATTCTTGAAGATAGAATACAATTAATTTTCCATAGTCATATTACACAAGTACACATATGAAACATAAAGTCAACACAGAACAATATTATTAGAATAATCTAGAAAATTTTAATAAAGGCACCTAAAAGCCTTACATGGAAAATAGCTACAGCCTGCGAGAGCAAAGGTCTAGTTTCAGGAGATGCAATCTTTCCACTGAGAAGTCTCCAGCTTACTTCCAAATCAGATCCACTATCAGAACCAATGTGCATGTTCTTTTTCCGGATGATATCCACAAGAGATTTAGGAAGCTTTTCAACTCCTCGAACCAGAAGATTCTGCAAAGAAGATTCAACCCTTCTACAATCCATGCTACAAAACCATTTCCCATCCGGCAATTCCTGAACCATGATGACACCATCATCTCAAGCTTGAATCAAATTGCAGATAAGAAAAGGAGGAGATAATTCATAAGATGTGTATGATATTATTGGATGGATGCATACCGTAAGGTCTGCCATATTATGATCCTTTAAGCAACCAACATGATATTCCTTCTCACACTGACAAGAGAGAATTCAAAATTAATTTTAAACAAACAAACAGCTTGATCAAAGACTAACGAAAAACTCAATAGAAATTGTACAATGGCCTCTACTTCAAAAGCATTCACGATTTTTTATAAGGTAATTCTTTGACATTCAATTATTTGGATGTGAATTTACAAAAGCAGGCATATAAAACATGTCCCACATCCCAAAGCACACTTGTGTACATGTTTACTACCTAGTTGGGTACCAGGTTCTAACCCCCAACAGTTGCTATTGTTTTTCCACACTCACAACCTTTTTCCATCTGAACTGCAATTTACTACTGACTTCTCAATACATGAAAATTACACTCCTCCCTTGTCAATAAAGAAAATATACGCATCAGTCTCTCATATGAAAGCAACAAGGATTGTTACCCTCAATGAATACAAATCAAACAGACTAAATTGCTTCAAGAACTGATCCAGAATCTAATGCATATTCTAACTAATGGGCCTCCTTAACTAACGGGCCTCCTTGACTAAATTGCTTCAAGATTGATCCAGAATCAAATGCATATCAATCTCTCATATGAGAGTAACAAGAAGTGATATCCTAAATGAAATCAAGTCAGACAATAAATTCAAGAATTAATCCCAGGAGATTTAATGCCTATTATACCTCTAAGAGGTCGTCTAGACTGTGAGCAATGAGCTGTAGCAAATACAGGGATACTTATTGTTAGATTGAAACATCCACCTGGATAAAGCCATAAAGGTAAATCTTTTGGGCTTTTCATTTCCAAAAAACCATTATTGTGACTTTATCTATTCCCCTCTGGCTATTTTGACTGGTTGTCTGACACCATCTTCATTATTTTCTTTCTCATTTCTTCCTTCCTTTCATCTTTATCCCTCAACCTTCATGGTGATTACAAATTTAGATGTTTTGGTTTCAATTATTTTTCTTTTTTTCGCTTTTGTATTTTCAAGGATCATGGATCATGGATCGTCCATGGTTGAAGTCTTTTTAAACCATTACTTTCATCTTTGATGATTTATCATTTCTGAGTTCAAGTTTATCAGCTCCGATTTTATTGTTTCTTTTTGATGTTGGTTTTTCGAGAATTCTGATTCTACTAATCAAATTTTGCTTGCATTTCTAAGGGTTTCTGAATCTTTCTAAAATTATTTTCCACTTTGTATTCGATATTATATTTTTTGGGCCACACGAAAATGACATTTTCCTTTCGTCTTTCCTTAACGTTGTATGTAAAGCAGTTAAGGAGTTTGTTGCATCACATTTCACTTTGATATTACTCTTAATATATCCACTTAGATATTACTCCAATATTTTCCACTTGGATAGTTGGATGTCACATTCCACTTGGACATTACTCTAATATTTTCCACAAGGGTTGCAGCTTTTCATTTGAGACATAGAAACCATGACACCAAATGATTACTCTAATATATATTTCCCTGACATGCCCAACCTATTTCTTAAGAAAAATTACCCCCTATTCCCACATAATAATTCCAACTAATAGACCTCTCTCTCTCTCTCCCCCCCCCCCCTGAT